CCCCATACCCTGTGTGGCATGACTACCTCGCCCCATACCCTGTGTGGCATGACTACCTCGCCCCATACCCTGTGTGGCATGCCCCATACCCTGTGTGACGTGACTACCTTGCCCCGTACCCTGTGTGGCATGACTACTTTGCCCCATACCCTGTGTGGCATGACTACCTTGCCCCGTACCCTGTGTGGCATGATTACCTCGCCCCGTACCCTGTGTGGCATGACTACCTTGCCCCGTACCCTGTGTGGCATGACTACCTTGCCCCGTACCCTGTGTGGCATGACTACCTCGCCCCGTACCCTGTGTGGCATGACTACTTTGCCCCATACCCTGTGTGGCATGACTACCTTGCCCCGTACCCTGTGTGGCATGACTAGGTTGCCCCGCACCCTGTGTGGCGTGACTACCTTGCCTCATACCCTGTGTGGCATGACTAGCTTGCCCCGTACCCTGTGTGGCATGACTACCTCGCTCCATACCCTGTGTGGCATGACTACCTTGCCCCATACCCTGTGTGGCACAACTACCATACCCGGTTCATGAGGACAGCTCGTCTAATGTCTCTGACGCCATCGTAGACGAGTCGAGACGCGTCGATGAACTCGTTCTCATCAGTCTCGCGCGGCGGGTCAGAGTTCAACGCGTCCACGGCAATCTCAACCCGCTGAGCGAAGTTCGGCATCACTGCAACAGCGACAACATCATCATCATCATCAACAACAAGAACAACAGCAGCAGCAGCAACAACAAAAACACCAACAATGATGGTGGCAATAATATTAATAACATGTATACGTACATGCACACATGTGTGTATATCTGTGTGCATATGTGTGTATATCTGTACGCGCATGTAAGTGTATATCTGTGACCGCATATTGTTTATGTGTTTGTGCATGCGTTTCTGCAAGTGTGTATGCACATGCATCTACATGATCTGCACTTTCTGCGTGCGCATGTTTGTACCCTGCGCGCACACGGTCATGTCGGACTCACCTTGCTCCTTCATCCTTCACATGTACGTGTGTGTGTGTGTGCGTGCGTGCGTGCGTGCGTGCATGCGTGCATGCATGCGTCTGTTTGTACCCTTGCACGCACAGGGTCACGTCGGACTCACCTTGCTCTTCCATCCTTCACATATGTGTGTGCGTGCGTGTGTGCGTGTGCGTTTCTGCGTGCGCATGTTTGCACCCTATCTGCTCACCTTGCTCCTTCATCATGGCGACAGCCTCAATGACGCGCTGCGTGTACAGTCCCGGCTCGTAGTTGTCCATCTCGGCGGCGACAACGTTGCAAACGCGCGCCGTCCTGCCACGGATGGCGCCAGCGGTGCGGTCGAGCGTGTCGGCGTCTGCCTCCTGCAGCGCGAGCATGCACTTGTTCACGTCCTCGAGTATGTGGCTCTCTGTACGACACGGAGAGAGAGAGAGAGAGAGAGAGAGAGAACACTAACGGATGCCGGGCAGGTATGCAGACGTCCGGGGTTGAATGCTGTGCCGAGAGAGGAAGGACGATGGCGAGGGGTGGTATAGGAGTGTCGGACGGGTGCGTGGAGAGTCTGGGAGGTGGAGTTCCTGGTGAGTTCACTGCCTGACGACATGCTATGCACTCTGCAAAAGATTAGCAAAAAGGCAGCGTGCCTTGCCCCATACCTCGTGTAACGTGACTACCTTGCCCATACCTCGTGTAACGTGACTACCTTGCCCCATACCCCGTGTAGCGTGACTACCTTGCCCCGTCCCCTGTGAACGTGACTACCTTGTCCCGTACCCTGTGTAACGTGACTACCTTGCCCCGTCCCCTGTGTAACGTGACTACCTTGCCCCGTACCCTGTGTGGCATGACTACCTTGTCCCATACCCTGTGTGGCATGACTACCTCGCCCCGTCCCCTGTGTAACGTGACTACCTTGCCCCGTACCCTGTGTGGCATGACTACCTTGTCCCGTACTCTGTGTAACGTGACTACCTTGCCCGTCCCCTGTGTAACGTGACTACCTTGCCCCGTACCCTGGTGTAACGTGACTACCTTGTCCCGTACCCTGTGTGGCTCATGACTAGCCTTGTCCCGTACCCTGATGTAACGTGACTACCTTGCCCCGTCCCTGTGTACGTGACTACCTTGCCCCCGTGCCCCTGTGTAACGTGACTACCTTGCCCCGTCCTGTGTAGCGTGACTACCTTGTCCCGTACCCTGTGTGGAATGACTACCTTGTCCCGTTACCCTGTGTAATGTGACTACCTCGCCCCGTTCCCCTGTGTAACGTGACTACCTCGCCCGTCCCCTGTGTGGCATGACTACCTTGCCCCGTCCCCTGTGTAACGTGACTACCTTGTCCTGTACCTGTGTGGCATGACTACCTTGCCCCGTCCTGTGTAACGTGATACTTGTCCGTACCTGTGTGCTGATCTACCTTGTCCCGTACCTGTGTACGTGACTACCTTGCCCCGTCCCCTGGACGTGCTACCTCCCCGTACCCTGTGTGGCTGACTACCTTGTCCCGCTCCCTGTGTAACGTGACTACCTTGCCCGTCCCTGTGTAGCGTGACTACCTCGCCCCGTACCCTGTGTGCCATGACTACCTTGTCCCGTACCTGTGTAACGTGACTACCTTGCCCGTCCCCTGTGTAACGTGACTACCTCGCCCGTACCTGTGTGGCTGACTACCTTGCCCCGTACCCCTGGTTAACGTTTGACTACCTTGCCCCGTCCCCTGCTGTAAGCGTGACTACCTCGCCCCGTACCCTGTGTGGCGTGACTACCTTGTCCCGACACCCTGGTGTAGCGTGACTACCTTAGTCCCGCTTACCCTGTGTGGCATGACTACCTTGTCCCGTACCCTGTGTGGCATGACTACCTCACCCCATACCCTGTGTAGCATGACTACCTCGCCCCGTACCCTGTGTGGCATGACTACCTCACCCCATACCTTGTGTGGCATGACTACCTTGTCCCGTACCCTGTGTAGCGTGACTACCTTGCCCCATACCCTGTGTAGCGTGACTACTTTGTCCCATACCCTGTGTAGCGTGACTACCTTGCCCCATACCCTGTGTAGCGTGACTACCTTGCCCTATACCCTGTGTAGCATGACTACCTTGCCCCATACCCTGTGTAGCGTGACTACCTTGCCCCATACCTGTGTAGCATGACTACCTTGCCCCATACCCTGTGTAGCGTGACTACTTTGTCCCGTACCCTGTGTGGCATGACTACCTTGTCATACTATAAGGTGAACCGCTGTGAATTAGTTTTCATCTTATTAAAAAAAATTAACGTCGAGTGCAGTGCCTACTGTTCCACTGCCTTGCATTACATGCACCGATATGGCGCCGATATCTTTGCCGTGTCACATTTACGGGACCGTCGCCCTGTCACGGGTTCTCTGCATTCTCTGGGTTCCATGAACGGGAGCGTGATTATTCCTGCTTGTGTGTGTAGTGGCACAGGACCACTGAAATCCACGATGGACGTCATCAAGGCTGCGAAAAGGATCTCCGAACTCGGAACGAAGCTCTGCAAGATCGCTGAGCACGATCGCCGAACAGGTATGGCGCTCGGTGCACATCCCACATGACATTTGGTGACAGTGGTGATTGCAGGAAGAGAGCACGGATTCTGAGAGGGCGTATGATTAACAGAATTAGACAACAAGATCGACACATCATGTTGAGAGAATCTATGCTGTGAGAAAGTTTTGATCGGTGACGATAGCAGTACACGAT